TGATACATGCTTTTAAATAATATTACAGTATCCAGAATATTTTGGCAAGTAGACTAAAGGAAGGTCAATTTAGGTAAGCTTTACTGCACAACATTCAGCCAGTTTTCATTCGCACACATAAAATCCAACATATGAGAATTGCAAACGTTGTCGTAAAGAAGATTTTAGCAAATATTTTAAAAAAAAATGCTTTCCAGGTGCATTTTTTTCTAGATTCTTCCTTTCTTATTATTTTTCACACACACACACAATTTACTCTCCTCTTTGCCTCTTTGAGAGCTGGTGGAGGGGCTCAGGGGAGCCATCGTTCCTGTACTAAGAGCCTGGGACACATGGGCTGCATCATCCAACAGAAGGCTATATGTATCCTGACCTTGGTGAACACACATGGGCTTCCACTGGGTGATGTCTTCATCCTCTTTTAGCAGAGAAACATCCAATTTTAATTAGGCTCATTCAATTTTAATGAATGCATTGTCAGTTACGTGTGAAAAAGGAGTGTATCATGATAATGGTAAAATGTTGTGTCTTCAGCACTGGCATGCCCAAATACAGTACTGGAAACAAGAATGACAAAAGAATACTATCACCATGTCATATATTGATCATAACCAGTCAGCTGTTTTGTATGTTGATAATATTATAGCTTTGTTCATTATGAATAACAAAGCCCAGAAATTGAACCGATAAAGAACTGTCTCAGTGTTAGTAAAGACCAAACAGTAAAGGGTAATTGTAGAAGCAGAAGTCAGTTTGAGGAGAAAACACACACCCCTCAGAGAACACAGGCAGAGTGACACCATCTAAGCTTGTTCTATGCTTTCATGCAGGATTTGGGGAGCACTGCGATGAGTCAGAGATGTGAGTAAGCAATGGGAATAGAACATTCATAAATAAATTGAATGTAACTTATGAACCATCAACAAAAGCAGCCTCAATTTGAAATGGAGTGCAGAAGTGCTCATCAGTGTAGCATAGTTTGTGTATTACATTTTAGAGTAAAATAAAATGGTAAATGGCCTGTATTTTTATAGCGCTTTACTAGTCCCTAAGGACCCCAAAGCGCTTTACATATCCAGTCATCCACCCATTCACACACACATTCACACACTGGTAGGCTCCAATAGAGACCCAAAGCATTCAAATTATATAAAATGAATACAAAATATATGCATAGAGAACAAAACATAAATACAGCAATACTATAATGCAGAATTATTCAAGTTTGTATTTAATGTGAAATTTCTGACTTGTCATCACAGAGAAGTCATATGGCCGAACTGTTAGGCTATGTTGGCTATTCTTTTGCTCTTCGTGGAGTTCTTTTGCAATCAAGTTGCTACCACCATTAACAATAGATCACAATTAGATATATATTAGTCCATGACTTTGATAAAGTCATATCTCAAAAAACAGCTCCTCAGTGGCCCAAGACGCTTCTAACATATAAATATTTAATACTGACCATCAAGGTACCGTATATGCTTTTAGCATACTAATTTTGTGGCTATTACATGTATATATTTATTGAGTTATTTTTATAACACTTGGAGTTCAGATGAACCTGTGTTTGGCTTCCCTTTCTTTCGGCAAACTCAGTTACAGGCCTGATAGCTAACTGTGCCTCAATACCTGACTTCCTGCAGAAACCCACAGAACAAGAGGATTTAATACAGAGCTGTGACACTCCTCTCCAAAGGGGATTACTGGAGCAGTGCTGTGAGAAATGGACCCCCCTTCCCCAGCACAGCTATAGCCAGGGCTACCCTGCCAGCACACACTCGCAACACATCTGCAAACAAGCATTGCAAATTTGTATATAGACTGTTGTTTTACTCAGTCGTTCACATCCACTCACCTCTCTTGCTAACTTAGCTATTGTCCATTCAGGCTCTCACACACAAACAGTAAAACACTGCATATGAGGTTATTTTTACGTTTCATATATAGTACACAGTGTATTTCTTACTTGCTTCGCTGCCAAATCATGCATTCTCTCTTCATCAGTTCCCTTGTCTCAATTTTCAAACCACTGCACACAATCATAGCCACTTCACACTCAGTGACCAGAAGAATACAAGGGCTTGTTTAGCCTAATGGAAGCCAGGGCAGTCTCTGCGCAGTAGTTTGTGAAACTCATTGTCATCTTACGTTGTTTTTTTGTTTGTTTTTGTCATATAAAAGCCAAAATTGCTCTGTTCACTCATATACTTTTTATTTCTTTATTTCGCTAACAAATGGATAATGTCACAGTGACTACATTTGTCTCTCTATAGTGCTATATGTCTTATATATAGTCTATATATGCTTACCAATATCTGTCACTGACAACTGCTACACCATGAAGACTTTCATTTTAGGTTAATGAGTTCCTTTTGCAGATCGTGATAAGAATAATGTTTTTGTATCTGCAGTTTGCAGTATAAGAGGGTTGGGCAGGGTAAAGGAAAATAAAATCTCCTCCAAAGAACATTAGGCTCTTATGTACACCAAGGTCATGGTCAATAAATTGAACTGAAGTTCAAAGTGTTAATGCTATGGTGATCTAACACCCTGTTTCTTACTGCCATTTTTGTATTGACAATATATAAGCATAAAGGGAATTATATATAGGCATTCTAAGCTAAATTATGTTGAACCTCTAACCTGTTCTTCAAGGCTACACGAGGTCATACTTTCATAAAATATCTTTTCTTTTTAAAATTGTGATAAAATTCTACTGCCCTTGTTTGAACAGGCAACATTTAGGAAAGTATACTGATATAGGGGATTCTAGATATCACATTATAGCTTGCATTCAAATACCATGACCAATGATCTCACTTTTACACTTCACAGCTGCATTTCTTTTAAGTTGAATAGTGGCATTGTAAAGCGCTTTGGGTGCCTTGAAAAGCGCTGTATAAATCCAATCGATTATTATTATTAAAATATGTTAAAGAAAATAGGTTTAAAGAAAGTATTGTCCAGAGAATGAGCTCCCTAACAAGCTGTAGTTTAACATTCTGTTTAAGTTTCAGTTATTCATGTTATTTAAAATGAATATATACTATCCATTACTACTACTACTGCATAATGTTTGTGTAATCATGGTAAACAGCCAACATGCTACCCTTGCTCCATGCTACTGCACCCCAACCTTCCTCAAGTAACTTTAAAATAAATAAATATATA